CTCTAGCTGATGCACAGACTTAGCCTTCTCTTGAACAGGAGTACGGCTCTATGCAGACTCCTTTTTCAGTGTTCTTGTGCTCACCTGCCAGTTACAGTGCCAGAATGGGAAAGACAAAATTGCTTTCTTCAAGACAGACAGGAAAAGCACCTCAATACTTGATTTTCTACAAATTACAAATGTTGGACCTTTGAATTATGAATATATAATGTTCCATTGATGTTGAATTTTACCTCTTGTGCCAATATAATTCTCTCAAGAATCTTTGCCTTAATACTGTGGAGGGAGGCTTGCTGTCGTAAGAATTAGACTAAGCATCCAAGGACATGATTAAGGGTGAGGTAGCATAAGAGTGATGTTGTAAGGCATGATGGTCCAGAAATGAGACCACTAACTACACAGCTGGTCCAATAAAAGGCATCACGGTAAGAAACCCTTGCCCCTTGCATTTAAGGTAAGTGCAGCAGAAAAAAAGACCAACATTTTATGCATAAAGTCTTCTCTTTTCTTTTTCATTAGACAAAGTCTATTTTTTGCCCAAACTAATTCACAGTGCCTTTTTAAAAAGGAACATCCAGAGAAGATGCAAACATTGCCTTGGCATTTTAACGGGGGTTGTAAGGGCCTCCTTCCAGTCAATGTGGGGCCTGACCTCACCTACTATATGGCCCTCTAATTGGTTTTTGCTCCTTGATGGGAAGGGGGGATCTGGCCCCCTCTTTATAGCTACTGTCAAAAGTAGCTGGCTTCATTCTCTTTCTAGCTGTAGGGCTGAAAAAGGCAAGAATCAACTGATCTCTTAGTCCACACCTCAGATCCCCATTTCACTGATTCACTTAATCACCTTGCTTAAATTCTTTCCATAACCACTCTTGAGAGACAGAATTGAATAGTAAATATCCATTCCTGTCTTATTTGTTGAAATAAAATTCCCATAAAGATCCAAGCATCTTGCTTGCCCAAGATTTGTGGATTTTGGCCATAAAAAAAAAAAATGGGGGTTCAACCTGCAGTACTAGTGCCACAAGTGACACAGACAGCCTCTGTGTGGCATATGGCAGACTCGGGAGAGCACAGGCAGCACTATAGTGGCAGATAGAGAGCAGAAAATAGAGCCTCAGATCAGGCAAGGAGCACAAGGCAGGAAGCAAAGCAGCAGCTTGGTCAAGGAGCAGGAACCTGAGTAGCAGCTTTGGTAAAGGAAAGGAATTGGCACTCAAAGAGGGTGCAAGGCTAACTTGTGGCATGTCTGCCAAAAAGGTGGGCCCCCACCAGTATAAACAATGCTTTGCTTTTGTATAGCATCTTTCACTGAGGATCTCAAAACACTTTAAAAGATAGACAAGTCCCATTTCCTTTCTTTTACAAATGGGGGTGACAGAGGCATGGGGAGACTATAGTTCAAGTGCTCAAACTGTAGCCAAGTTTGGGGCCAAAGATGCAAGTTGCCATGTACTCAGACACCCAAAAATAGAGACCACTTTGGACCGTTTGGTCCTAAATGACTTGTCAAAAAATCATGCAAGTCACAAACAGAGCCCACATGCCTTGTTTTCCCTTCCCTTTAGACCATGTTGCCTCCAAAAGGCACACCTGTGTTTTTTTGTGCTTAGACATGTGATCAAGATAGGGACACATTTTAAATAGAAGAAAGTGGTGAACAAGTAAACTTCTATGCAGTTTGGAGTCATACAGTATGGGAGCTGTCTTATGGCAGAAAAAATCTGGTAGTAGTTAGAGAGTTTATGGGCATTCATACACTACATGAGGATTTAAATTTTCCCTAAATTGAAGCGGTGTTTTTTTAAAAACCATTGCTTCAATTTAGGATTAAGTAAATCCCTGTGTCATGTACACCCGTGTCAGAGCCCAATCCTTACCTGCCTGTCCAGCGGTGGGGAAGGGAGCA